AGAACTCGCAAGAAACGATCAAGAGGTATGTGAGGAGCTCAACACGAGATTTAAGGAAGTATTTACAGTAGAGACAGGAAGGACTCTGGGGGGACAGACCAGATGGGGACACCAGCAAGGAATACACCAACAAGTGTTGGACGACATACATACAGATGAGGAGGAGGTGAAGAAACTGCTAAGGGACATCGATACCTCAAAGGCAATGGGACCGGACAACATCTCCCCGTGGGTCCTTAGAGAGGGAGCAGATATGTTGTGTGTGCCACTTACCACAATCTTCAACACGTCCCTGGAAACTGGGCAACTACCTGAGGTATGGAAGACGGCAAATGTAGTTCCCATTTTTAAAAAAGGAGACAGAAAAGAGGTACTAAACTATAGACCTGTGTCATTGACGTGTATAGTATGCAAAGTTATGGAGAAGATTATCAGGAGGAGAGTGGTGGAGCACCTGGAATGGAACAAGAGTATACCTGGAGTTTACCTGGAGAGAGTTCTGGGGGTCAACGCCCCCGCGGCCCAGTCTGTGACCAGGCCTCCTGGTGGATCAGAGCCTGATCAACCAGGCTGTTGCTGCTGGCTGCACGCAAACCAACGTACGAGCCACAGCCCGGCTGATCAGGAACTGACTTTAGGTGCTTGTCCAGTGCCAGCTTGAAGACTGCCAGGGGTAAGATAAGATAAGATAAGATTTCGTTCGGATTTTTAACCCCGGGGGGTTAGCCACCCAGGATAACCCAAGAAAGTCAGTGCGTCATCGAGGACTGTCTAACTTATTTCCATTGGGGTCCTTAATCTTGTCCCCCAGGATGCGACCCACACCAGTCGACTAACACCCAGGTACCTATTTGCTGCTAGGTGAACAGGACAACAGGTGTAAGGAAACGTGTCGAAATGTTTCCACCCGCCGGGAATCGAACCCGGGCCCTCCGTGTGTGAAGCGGGAGCTTTAGCCACCAGGCCACCGGGTCTGTTGGTAATCCCCCTTATGTGTGCTGGGAGGCAGTTGAACAGTCTCGGGCCCCTGACACTTATTGTATGGTCTCTTAACGTGCTAGTGACACCCCTGCTTTTCATTGGGGGGATGGTGCATCGTCTGCCAAGTCTTTTGCTTTCGTAGTGAGTGATTTTCGTGTGCAAGTTCGGTACTAGTCCCTCTAGGATTTTCCAGGTGTATATAATCATGTATCTCTCCCTCCTGCGTTCCAGGGAATACAGGTTTAGGAACCTCAAGCGCTCCCAATAATTGAGGTGTTTTATCTCCGTTATGCGCACCGTGAAAGTTCTCTGTACATTTTCTAGGTCGGCAATTTCACCTGCCTTGAAAGGTGCTGTTAGTGTGCAGCAATATTCCAGCCTAGATAGAACAAGTGACCTGAAGAGTGTCATCATGGGCTTGGCCTCCCTAGTTTTGAAGGTTCTCATTATCCATCAGCTAATTGGCCTGTACAAAAGGCGTATATTGCTCTTCTTGAAATTACTGTGACCACCGCTCCAATAATTTGTCCTTCCTTAGCCATTGATATAAATAGGTATTCTTCTTTACCCAAACTAATCAATGTAACTAAGTTGGTGTTTAAATTTCTAAACAAGATGAATATTTCATTTAAGTTTTCACATCCTCTTGAATATTGGATAAAGAGGGTACAGGAGGAAATCTATGGAAATGAGATTAAATTGATGATGGAAAGAAAAATTGTGAAAGGTTCCATAATAGAGAAATTGGGGCTGTATTTAGAGAACAATGTAATTAGGTGCAGAGGTAGGTTACAAAATGCTGAATTAGGTGATTATGCTAAACACCCTATCTTACTGCCCAAAACTCATCATCTAACAAATTTGATTGTTCTAAATGCCCATAAAAATGTAATGCACGGTGGGGTACAAGATACCTTAAATTGTATTAGGGAAACTTTCTGGATTCCACAAGGATGGCAAAGTGTAAAAAGGGCGATTAAATCTTGTGTAATATGTCGCCGTGTGAATGCCAGATCCTATATGTACCCAGGTACTCCACCATTGTCAAATGAGCAATTTGAGTCGTTTAGCAATGAACTCTGGCCGGCCGCAGTGTGGAAAATACTGTATATATTTTCCAGAAATTCAGTATTTATATGTAAATAGATGGCCATACTGTATTAAATAATATTTATGTCATAGAAAACAGAAAGCCTGCGTCTGCGCAGACGAGACTCGCCATCTTGGTTTTGAATTTTGTACAAACGTTGGTGTAATGGGAAGAATTTTTCGTGCTCTAGAGGTTAAAATTGTGTTGACACCTCTCAAACAGGAGGCGAAATTGGTGGATGTGCATTCCTGCATAACTTGAGATATCAGACGACTGGACAAGACAACTCCAGGAACCTCAGATAAGCTCTCTAGATTTATGTGTAATTCTGGCCAGCATTATTTTCATAGATTTAGTTAGAGTGAGGTTTTCTGAGTATGATACACATTAATCTCCAGTCAAATTGGTTTACCTGGAGTTTACCTGGAGAGAGTTCCGGGGGTCAACGCCCCCGCGGCCCGGTCTGTGACCAGGCCTCCTGGTGGATCAGAGCCTGATCAACCAGGCTGTTGCTGCTGGCTGCACGCAAACCAACGTACGAGCCACAGCCCGGCTGGTCAGGAACCGACTTTAGATGCTTGTCCAGTGCCAGCTTGAAGACTGCCAGGGGTCTGTTGGCAATCCCCCTTATGTATGCTGGGAGGCAGTTGAACAGTCTCGGGCCCCTGACACTTATTGTATGGTCTCTTAACGTGCTAGTGACACCCCTGCTTTTCATTGGGGGGATGGTGCATCGTCTGCCAAGTCTTTTGCTTTCGTAGTGAGTGATTTTCGTGTTCAAGTTCGGTACTAGTCCCTCTAGGATTTCCCAGGTGTATATAATCATGTATCTCTCCCGCCTGCGTTCCAGGGAATACAGGTTTAGGAACCTCAAGCGCTCCCAGTAATTGAGGTGTTTTATCTCCGTTATCTAGGTCAGCAATTTCACCTGCCTTGAAAGGTGCTGTTAGTGTGCAGCAATATTCCAGCTTAGATAGAACAAGTGACCTGAAGAGTGTCATCGTGGGCTTGGCCTCCCTAGTTTTGAAGGTTCTCATTATCCATCCTGTCATTTTTCTAGCAGATGCGATTGATACAATGTTATGGTCCTTGAAGGTGAGATCCTCCGACATGATCACTCCCAGGTCTTTGACGTTGGTGTTTCGCTCTATTTTGTGGCCAGAATTTGTTTTGTACTCTGACGAAGATTTAATTTCCTCGTGTTTACCATATCTGAGTAATTGAAATTTCTCATCGTTGAACTTCATATTGTTTTCTGCAGCCCACTGAAAGATTTGGTTGATGTCCGCCTGGAGCCTTGCAGTGTCTGCAATGGAAGACACTGTCATGCAGATTCGGGTGTCATCTGCAAAGGAAGACACGGTGCTGTGGCTGACATCCTGGTCTATGTCGGATATGAGGATGAGGAACAAGAGGGAGCGAGTACTGTGCCTTGTGGAACAGAGCTTTTCACCGTAGCTGCCTCGGACTTTACTCTGTTGACGACTACTCTCTGTGTTCTGTTAGTGAGGAAATTATAGATCCATCGACCGACTTTTCCTGTTATTCCTTTAGCACGCATTTTGTGCGCTATTACGCCATGGTCACACTGTCGAAGGCTTTTGCAAAGTCTGTATATATTACATCTGCATTCTTTTTGTCTTCTAGTGCATTTAGGACTTTGTCGTAGTGATCCAATAGTTGAGACAGACAGGAGCGACCTGTTCTAAACCCATGTTGCCCTGGGTTGTGTAACTGATGGGTTTCTAGATGGGTGGTGATCTTGCTTCTTAGGACCCTTTCAAAGATTTTTATGATATGGGATGTTAGTGCTATTGGTCTGTAGTTCTTTGCTGTTGTTTTACTGCCCCCTTTGTGGAGTGGGGCTATGTCTGTTGTTTTTAGTAACTGTGGGACGACCCCCGTGTCCATGCTCCCTCTCCATAGGATGGAAAAGGCTCGTGATAGGGGCTTCTTGCAGTTCTTGATGAACACGGAGTTCCATGAGTCTGGCTCTGGGGCAGAGTGCATGGGCATGTCATTTATCGCCTGTTCGAAGTCATTTGGCCTGGAGACCTGGAGGCGAGTGATATTAAGATATATTTTCCTTCTGTTATGTAATTGTGTATATATATATATATATATAAATATTTTATATATATATATATATATATATATATATATATATATATATATATATATATATATATATATATATAACCATTTATTATTTTTAATATACAGTCCACAAATTTATATATTTACCAGTATTCCTGGTATATGTATATTTCATTTAATTAATAGGTCCAGAGCAACTTGTGGTTATGACAGTGGTAGGTATCGAAGGGGGACATTTTTTGCGACCTAGGTGTCCCAAATTCCTACTTGTCTATGTAACATTGATAAATAATAATTATCTTTGTTATCATTTACTGTTATGTACATAATTAGTTACATTCACATAAATGCAATTTTCCACAAATTTATTGCACCCAGTATTTAGCAAGGCATAGTTGAATTGAGAGAGATTCAAATTCAAAATCATTTTTTTATTTCTATGCTTAATATACAATATGTAGTTTACATGTAATAAAATATTAAGCATAAAGAAAGCCACTAACATGCATGAGCATTTTGTTAGAGATTTGTACTGAGATACAAGGACCCCTAATGGAAATAAATAGATTACTTTTTCTGACTGTTGTGGGTTATCCTAGGTAATTTATATATATGTTATTATGTAACACAATTGTAATCACCTAAAACTTAGGTGTAATTGTTCCTAAATAAACTTAGACCCTGGAAATATCTAGCAGCATTAAAACGTCTGAAGGGGCCGTTATATGATTTAAAATTATATTATATTAATTAAATAAAATAAATAATGTGTAATCAGTAAAATCTGAGCAAGACATATGATAATAAATATGTGATACATATTTTCCAAGTAGACAGAATGTGATGTCTACAAACATGCTGTCTTTTCCGAGCTTGGTCGTCCCTTAGACGTCAGCCTAGAAGCTGTCTATGGGAACTGCCATAATTTTGCAATATGGTGAGCTTAAATTGCCTTTCCTGTTCGTATATATGTCAATGAGTATCTCAGGTGTACTGTGAGTTGCAACTTAAAAGCAGTTATGATGAAGAGGTGGTGTAAATATGGCTTGTATGTGCTGGGTTAGCACGGTGTGGCGGCCATGTTGGCCGTCTCGTGTTTACATGTGCTAAGTTTTATTCAGGTTAAATATTCATATATTTTTACAAGCTGCTGTTTTTAATTTCACCATTGATAAAAGTAAGCAAATGTGGTTTTATGTGGTAATAAAATTTAGATGAAAGTATATTTGTCATAATATGGCTGGATGACGTGTGGCTGTCACTTTTGATTAGTGTTCTCATATGTGATGATTAAGCAGTGTTTCCAGGTTCATCTGGCAGTCTACTTAACAAAACGAAGATTAGAGAGATTTATAGGTTATGCTAGGTGAGGCGACTATATTAGTAGTATGTTGAATAGTTGATTTTTTTTTTTTCACCTAAGGAAAACGCTGAGTTAATTTTAGTTTTAAAAGTGCTGAATAAACTGCTAGCTAATCATCTCAGTGGTTGCTGGGGTTGAGTTTTGTGTCCTGCCCTGCCCCTTTACTGGCTGCTGTTAGTTTCACTTTCCTTCCTATATTGACCCTATCATACCTGTTCTTAGAGCTATGTATGGATTCTGCCTCTACCAATTATGTCTAGGTTCTTTCTGACCATTCTAACATCCCTATGATTCACCTGTGTTTTTTAACCTCAAACTGTGACCTCGTACCACAGATTGCATCTGACTTGCCCTGTCCATCCTGTCATATCCTCTTGTGTATTTTGTGTTATGTCACAAGTCTTCAAGAGAAAACTGGACGAGTATCTTCAACAGGTGCCGGATCAACCAGGCTGTGATGGATATGTGGGTCGGCAGACCACCTGCAGCCACAGCCTAGTTGATCAGGCAAATACCAGATGAGCCTGGCCTTTGCCCCGGCTTCAGGAGTAGATTTCACTTAGAAGAAACTTCTAAGAGGCATAGAAATAAAATACTTAATTCGTCATTGACCTAAAAATAGGGCTCTGAATAATTTAAGGACACCAGATTTCTACAGGATGTGGTTAGAAAAGTGGCAGATGCTGTTGGAGTAAAAGTAAGTTTTCATTTGCTACCCTGTCATTCCCCCACCACCACCTTTACCTACACAAATGGAAACATTCAAGAGCACAAGAATAGGGGATTACAATGGGAGGCATACTGGCCCACACTAGGCAGGTCCAACTCACCCCAACACTTTCAAAACCAGGGGAAAAATTGCCAGTGATGACACTATCCAAATCACTGTGCTCTCTTGCTAACATAATTGAAACAATACACTATATCAAACAAAACCAGCTCATCCAATTCTCTCCTTGCTCTTCCAACCTTCCTTCAACTCCCATATAAAATTTGTAACATATCTTGTTCCATTGTAACTAAGTAACCTTCTGTATCATCGCACTTCTGTTCAGTCACTCCACAAAACTAAAGACCATTGCATGAATTTGAAAGTCATAATTTTGACATTGTACTGTTATGTCCTAATTCAAATATTGTACTGAAGAATGCTTTATATTGGCATTAAAACTGTGCAGTAAAAAAAATTATCTTTTTCTGCATCAACATTTTTCTTTATAAATCTCCCCTGCATTGTCGCCAGTGCTTTTTACTAAACACCGACAGTAAAGAGAAAAGGGTTTTGGTACTGACATTAAATCTCACTTTATTGATCTCATGCATAAAGGGCATTTCCCATGACAGTTTCAGATTCTCTTGTTGAGCCATTTAGCTGGTCATATAATGAAGACCTCTCAGGTGATTTTTTCCCCCCAGCACATTACCCACCACCACCTTTGTTAATATATCAGTGGTGTAGATTTTGTTAGTGTAACACATTAGAAAAGGAATAGAATAATTGGGATATGATTTAATAGTACAAATTTAAATTGAGAATAAATAGTGCTGAAATTCAGATATAGAAGGCATACACTAGCATATGTCTCCTCCCCTTGGAATGCCTGTTTAAAGAGAGCAAGAGGGAAAAGCCCCAAGTTTTTCAGAGCAAAAACATAATGTAAATAAAGATGTAGACATCTCTAACATAACATTCAGTGTTAAATTCCAATTGTTTAGATATGTTACCTGGAGTTACCTGGAAAGAATAAAGAACTCGAAAGGGGCAACATACAAAATGCAAGATCATCACCCAGTATACTGCAAGTTACATCTCACATGGAGCCATTAAAGCTTTAAATTACTGGAAATGTCTCAAAGCCATAAATATGTACTATATTTAATGGAGTGGAGAGATACATAATGCATGTATATACATGGGAAATGCTTGAGGGACTAGTCACAGATCTGCACACAGCAATAATATCCTGGAGCAAGAGATAAAAGACAAATACAACAATAACTGTGAAAAGCAGGGGTTCTATGGACCCAGATTATTCAGCACTACTAACAGATATCAGAAACACTGCCTGAGGAGGTGTAGAAGTCTTCAAGAGGGGACTTGACATATACTCCACTAAGTGCCAGATCAACCAGTCTGTGATGAATCTGTGGACCAGCAGCCATAACCTGGTTGACCAGACAAGCCTGACCCAGGGCCTAGCTGTGGGAGTAGGTGAACCCTTTAAATCTGTCAAAGGCATATAGAAGGTAAAGCAAATCTGAAAAGGATCTTAGAAATTTGGTGGTTGCTTTTATTTTTCTTCTCATTAATACATGAATTTAGGTGATGTTTAAACCCGCTGTGTATATTCTACAGGGTTTCATTAAAGTTGTCAAGAATAAGGCTTACTTCAAGCGCTTCCAAGTAAAGTTCAAGAGGCGCAGAGAGGGCAAGACTGACTACTATGCTCGCAAGCGATTGGTTGTGCAGGCAAAGAACAAGTACAATACGCCTAAGCACCGGTAAGGTTTGACTTTAGATAATACAGTAGTATGATTGTTTTTATAAAACTAAGGTCTTCATTGTTAGGGGTGGAGGGGTGGGTAGCTTGGTGGTTTTTGGCATTTATAGAGAGACAGAGGATATATATAAATCTCAGGTTGGAGGGTTAGGGGTCATCCTGGGTATGGAAGGGAGGGGGGTAAATGAGGCTTTGACTTGGGAGTTGATCATCCAGCAGGCTTGTGAGAGTATATTGGGTACGAGTAAGTGAAGACAAGTGGAATTTTTAATGGCCCATTAGCTGGACTAGTCCTGGAGGTGAGAAGGGCAGTGTCTGCACTCTGAAGCAAGGATGGAGAGAGCCATTGAGTTAAAATAAAAAATGGGATTCCAAGAAACAAATAATATTCTTAATATTCAATAAGTACTGTAGTTTGTTTAGTAACTTATTGGTTCGCTAATTAAAGGTATCTCTACAGCATGATTGTGCGTATCACAAACACTGATGTCATCGCTCAGATTGCTTATGCCAGAATTGAGGGAGATATGATCACTGCTGCTGCATATTCTCATGAACTCCCTAAATATGGTGTCAAGGTTGGTCTTACCAACTATGCAGCATGCTACTGCACTGGACTCTTGCTTGCTAGGAGGGTAAGTTTTCTTTTGTTTTTTTTCTCTGACACTGGTTCTGTTTTTTACAAGTTTTGCATGTGGCTTTAGGTTGCTAATTACTTTGTCAGAAGGTTTGTCAGTACCACATTAAAACTGGTAAGATAATCAACAGTGAAAGTCTTCATGTATTATGTGGTATACCAGAACACATTTCTTTAAATTATGTAATTGGTATGTTAAAAACATGTTAAATTTGGTGAAATTTTCATGGGTTTTAAACCTGGGACTGGGCTGTGGGGGTGTTGACTCCCAAAACCCCCTCTAGGTAAACTCCAGGTATTGTCTGGTCTGTTGGTCAAGTCTCAATTAAAACAGTCATTAAATTTATATTGCACTACTAGTCAGATAGTTTATATTGTTTATCTATACTGTATTTCAGATTCTGAAGAAGTTCAGGCTGGATACCATTTATGAAGGTCAGAAAGAAGCTGATGGGGAGATGTACTCTGTGGAGGATGTGGCAGAAGGTCCAGGAGCTTTCCGTGCCAACCTTGACATTGGTCTGGCACGGACCACTACTGGAGCTAGGATTTTTGGAGTCATGAAAGGTGCTGTGGATGGAGGCATTGAAGTTCCCCACAGGTATATGCATAATTAATGTTTTAATGATTGTGTTTTACAGTATTTTCAAGTTCATAAACACTGGTAGGTGTATTTTGAAAACTAAACATGTATATCCACTCCTACACAGTGAGAAGAGATTCCCTGGATATGACAAGGAGACAAAGGAATTTAATGCTTCTGTTCTTCGTGATCATATTATGGGTAGTCACGTTGCCAGTTACATGAGGGAACTCATGGAGGAAGATGAAGATGCTTACAAGAGGCAGTTCTCACGATTCATTAAGAAAGGAGTTACCCCTGATGAGGTAATTACTGATTAATAGTTATTTATACCCGATGAATTGAAATGTGTAAAAAAAATTTATCAGTCTCTTCACTAATATGTACATTTTTTGGATCCAATGTGCTGGTTTTTCATAATACTATGCAGTAGTACAATCAAATTAAGTGCTAAACCTGAAAGGATCATGTAATATAGTACTATGCATGTATTGGTTTTTGTCATTTCCTTGGTACGTGCTTGGACCTGAACCATTGCCAGTATCTTTAATTTGCACTTGTCAGCCTTTGCCATTGTTTACCTAATGTCAGTATATCATATGATTGTCAGTATTGACCAGATTAAAATATATTGTCTTGTATAGAGAGATGGCCTTGGCCAGTGGACAAAATTTAGTGGTATTTGTGAATTCTGAACTGGAGGCCCTAGTAAATTTGGTGGTTGACTTGTACTCTTTTTGATAATGGTTTTTACTTGTATTTAATTATGGTACAATTTGCTGTAATGTATCGTTGCATATTAGAATTTTTTTTTTTTTTTAATTTATAATATGGAAGGTTACGTTAGGAATCGCTGTGCCATGTGAAAATAAACAAAATCAGTGTAAACAATGCTTCATGAGTGCAGTCCTTGAAACTACAACTGGCTTACTCTGATAACTCTTATATCAGTCAGAATAGTTATATCTGGTAGCAGTGAATAATACTCTTCAGCGGCATCCCGTAGGAGAGAGGGAGGAAGCACTTCTTGACTGTAGGCTAAGTGAGAATGAGCTAGCATCTAATGGACTGAAGGTAGGTCTAAGCCTGCAAGATCGGCAGTGCCAGCCTAGTGGCATGGCATGAAATACAAGGGTAGCTTGATGCGAAATATAAAACCCAACAGGGTTTACATCACTCAGGCATACTACTGTGTCAAGTGACTGAATAAAATCTCTCTCCCTTTTCGTGCAGGAACAGGGCACTAAAATGAAATGCAAAATATTTAGTGGATACAAAAAACTTCTTACCAAGGAGAGAAGAAAAAAGGGGGGTACTAAAAAACATTGCCAACACAGTGAGCCTTCATGGGCATCACTGCATGCCATCCTGCATATGGATAGGGCTTACACTAGGCTTGGCTGGGTTATTTTGGTAGTCCATTATTGTCCATTGCAATCTTACCTATTTTCAAAGCATAATTTTCTAAGCCATTTGTTTTGTATAATCGTAATACTTTCTTCTAAACAGCTAGAAGAAATGTACAAGAAGGCACATGCTGGCATTCGTTCTGACCCATTACCTTCACCAAAAGAAGAGAAGAAGGTAAGGCAAATCATATTCTCGTTTCGTGTATTTATATTTTTCTATTTAAATCGATTGACCTTTCCACCTCATACCATCTTTGTATTTCACTTTTAGTACACTAAATAGCTTCCAGATATTTGTAGCTGGTAATAAATGCTCATTTTCTTCATAATTCAGTACTGTATTTTATATCTGACAGTAAATAATGATTCCATTTTTAGTATGAAGCTATAATTTCATAGTGTTGGTTTCGTAATGTAAGAAATGTGAAAGTTTAAAGCATTAGGGACCTTAAATTTACTGTTCTGAAGTCAAGACATGAATAAATCTAGACTAGTATTGACTCCACTTAAATTGGTTTTGTTTTGTCTTCAGCTGAATCAGTCATGCTTGTAAATATTTCATTCAGTATTGCAGAACTTAATTTTCCAATTTTATAGCAAACACTTCTTGGGTTTGCCAACTAAACACCTACCATTCAGCGGTATTTTTCCCCCAACCTGCAGCTTTTGGGGGGGGCCTGTGAAAATTCCCCTCCGGGGCTTTAGCCTGGTGGTGGGAAGTACATCCCCTGCACTCAAGAGGAGGATTTTAATATTTTGCTGGGAAAACTGACTGTAGTATCTGCATCCTCGGGAAAACAGTGATAGTGCAAATGATGGTGAAATTTTTTTTTTTTTTGTCATCCTGTTTTCTTTGGGGAGATGACTAGTGTGTTTAAAATAAAAAAAAATTTCTGAGGGTTGCCGGGGGAAATTACTTTGCCATCTAACTTTTTTTTTTTTTAGTGAAACTTTCTCTGAAAAAATACCACGGGTTATGAGTAAAAGCCCCCCCCCTCACTTACACTTCTGTACTTTTTTAAACTACGACTCGGACTTAAAATGGGGGTCGACCAGTATGCAAAAACAAAATTTAATGTCCCGTATATTAGAGCTAATTTCTTCTTTTCCCTTTTAAATTACAATATACTGTATAAACATTTAAAAAATACAGTGGACCCCGGGTTTTTACGATCGCCCCCAATGCGCCCAAATTTTTTATGTAAGAAATTTTTTTAAGTGCGTTTGTTTTGTGTATTTTTTGGGGGTCTGAAAGGGACTAATCAATTCACAATATTCCTTAGGGAAAAAATTCGGTCAGTACTGGAAACCAAAAACTTTACCCCCTGGAATGAAAAATATCAAAAAACCCGGGGGGTCCCGAAAAACAGAAATGTTAAAATGGTGAAAAAGATGACATTAAAACAATATCGAAGAGGTTGACGGAAAACCCCACATACCTTTATAGTATTACATAGGGCCCTCGCTTGGGCAAAAAATTTTTGTTTACCAACGGGTTTTAGGAATGGAACTCTGTCTTTAATGAGGAGGGGCCCCTGTATTAGAAATGGATGGGGGAAATTTTTTGGTTTCCAAAAAATTTTTCCCTTTTTGAAATTTTTAAAAGTTGAAAACAGATTGAAAAGGGGTCTCCACCTCCATGCTAACTCTGGGTACTTGAAAATCCTTAGGAAAATTAAAAAAAAAAAAAAAAAAAAAACTAAGGCGGTTAAGGGGGGAAACCCCAAAAAAAACGAAATTAAAAACCTTAAAACTTCACATAGTTTCCTTTTAAATTTTTTTGAAAAAAAAAAGGTGCCAATAAAAAAAATTGGGGAAATTTTTTTGACCCCCGCTGTTCCATTTTAAAGACCGATTAACCCTTTTTGATAGAAAAAAGCAATTTTAGCTTGGCATTTTTAAACCGTTGCGATTTCCCTTTGGGTTTTTTCTTTGTGCCTTTTTTTTTTTTTTTTTTTCCTGAAAACAAGGGGCCCTGTTAAATAAGGGGGGGTTATTTTCCAAAATTTTACCATTGCAAATAAATTGGCCTTTTTTTTTTTTAAAAAATACATATAAAGGCCTGAAAATAGGTTTCCCACAACATATATTAAGGGGTACAAAATTTTAGGCCAAAAAAAAAAAATATAAAAAGTAAAATTAAAATGTGCAGAACCCCTTTTACTTGCCTAAAAAATTTTTCCCCTTTTAAACATGTGAGTGGTTGGAAAATTGCCAAAATAAAAGAAGAAACAGAGCACACAGACTGTAAAACAAGACTGAACCCGAAAAACACCCCCCTGGCTCTTGCAATTTGCTATGCAGACTACTGCTTTGGGATTTGAAGAAAAATTTTGAATAAAAAGAAGGGTTTTTTTTTGGGGGAAAATTTCCTTTTTCCAAGGGGGCTCCGGGGCTTTGGTTAAGGGGCTCTTGTCTAGAAATTAGCCCTGTCGGCCCTTCCTCAGACTAAAACCAAATTTACCCCCCATTCTCCCCCCCCCTTTATCCCATCCTCCCCTTTTTTCCATTCCTCCCCTCCTAAACCCCTCCCTTTTGCCCCCCTTTTTTTTGGGCCTTTTGGGTTTTCTCCCACAGGCGCGCTAGTTCCTAGGGGGGGAAAGGGACCCGGGGGTCCATCCCCATTCCGTTAGGTTTTTTGGCGGTGGCGTAGTTTTGCCGGGGAATCTGGTTTTGCCGGGGGAAATGCCCCGTCCCTTTTCCCGGTTAATCCCGAGTATTTTGGGGGTGTCTTTCGGGCGATGGGTGTATCTCTGTAAGCCACCTTTGGGGATTCCGGGGTGGTGGCCAAAGGAGGGTTCCTTTGGGGCGGAACCCCCGGGCCGCCCCCCTTTTTGTCCACCGAGGAGCTCGGCAGATGTGGGGTTCCCTACCCGGTTTGCGGGTTTAAACTGGCATGAAGGGAAGGGTATGGCAGGGGTTCCTTTCGCATCTGCACAAAAAAGCGGTGCTAGGCCTTTTGGGCGCGGAGGGAGTTTTTTCCGGCCCTTTCATTCCTCCGGGGAACAATTCCCCCCCCCGGCTCCCCCCCTTTTTTTTTTCTTTTCCTTTTTTTTTTTTTTCTTAAAAACAAAAAGAAAAGGGAGTAACCCAAACCCCCCATGGCAGCCCTAGCCCATGAACCCACAACCCCCGGGGGCCCCTTCTTGAAAACCGCCCCCCATTCTGCCCCTCCCTGTGTTTAACCACTTTGGGACACTCCTGATCCCCCTGTACCTTTTGTTTGGTGCTTTTTTTCCCCCACCCTTTCGGGTCCCCGGGGCCCTTTTAGGATTTCCTTCGATTTCCCCTGAACTCCGCTCTCCTTTGACTATTTTTCCGGCTTCCCCCCTCTAGGGAAAACGGCAATTTTCAAATCGCCTGCCCATTTAAACCCCGGACCAACCCCGGGTCCAAACTCCTAAAGGGCCAACGCCCAATCTCCTGATGATGTTTCCTTCTTCCCTTTCCCATTCTACCGGAAAAACTGAAAAACGTCAAGCACTCCCTCCCACGCTCAGTTTCAACCACCCCCAAGGGACAAAATTTTATTTTAAAGACCGATTTCTTCTTCTGCCTACCTTTCTGACCATAGTATTGGCAAAGCGCTCCTGCGTCATTTGGTAGAGAAAATTTCATTTCATGCTCTCAAGAGGGGTATGCGCATCGGCACTGCCAAATGCCCCCCAAGCTCATGATCTTTCCCCCTCCCTTTCGAAAATCGATACTACCCCTTTATCACTATTGAAAAAAATTTTTTCTCTAAAATTCTTGTAGGGTAATGTCATTCGGCCCCATACCATAGCCAAACCCAAAATTTCCAGTCATGTGGCAATGACTTTTTTAACGGGCGGGAACCCGGGATCCCCCAAAACCCAAAGTGGGACATTTAAATGTCCTTCCCTTGCCCGGGGGGGGGAGACGTTACCCTTGCAATGGGTTTTTTTTAAAACTTTTGACAGCCGGAACCCCCTCCCTCTGTAATTCGGGGACATCTTTACAATTTTCAAAAGGTTGATACCAAACACCGCAACAATGTAAAAATTTTGCGGGCTTTTTTGGGTCACCCCCGAAAAAATTGCAGATCTATGGCCGAATGCCCAGTCTGTGGTGCCGACGCCCAAACCAAATACACCCTTGCCTATTTGAAATTAAAGGCCCCAACCTTTCGTACCCCTCCCGTTAAAGGGTCTACAAAAATGAAAGTGAAATCCGTTGCCTCAAAAAGGCAGAAGGCCCTCCCTTATGCTATGGCAGTTACTCATCTCCGCCCCCAAAGGGAGCCCTTACCCCACGGTTCCCTTATTCTCGTTTTTTCCAAAAAATCCCCCCCCTTTTTCGGGGGGTCCCATTTTCCCTGAAACCCTCCCTGTTGTTACCCCTCCCATAGCCACTCCCGGCATCTAATCCTTTTGCTGCCCTTGGCTCTGACGTCCCACAAACAACTCGGTCGTTCTCACACCCTTATGCGCCCTTCCTAACAACCCCCCTATCGACAAACCCCCGTACAAACTCCTAATCCCAAATCGCCCCTCTAATCAAAGTCCAAAAAACCACATTGCTCAAATCTTCTTTCCCCTTTCTTCCCTTTTTTTCCACCCCCCCATTTTCCTTTTTCCAGTCCCTGTACCAGTTCTTCCCCCCCCTCCTGGCTCTATTACAAGTGTGGAGATTCACCCCCCTCCTCTACAAATGCCTTCCACCCCCGTCCCCCCCCAAAGTTTTTTTTCCCCCCTTTCTCCCACCCCCCCGGGTTTCCCTGCCTCTTTCTGCCCCCCCCCCACACTTTCATCTCCAGTCCCTTCCCACTTTTTCCCTCCCCCTCTTTTTTTGGTACAGTCCTACTGCCCCCAATCTTTACCCCACCCTCCTCCTTCTACCCCCCAATAGGGGTCTCCCATACATCTTTAAATTTCCCGAAACACTTAACCCTTTCAAAAATATTGCAGAGGCAAAACCCTTTCAATGGACACTGATTCACTTCCTGTTCCTTCTTTTTCCCTCTCCCCCATTTTCACACCCCATTCTTTTTGCAACCTCCAAACCTTTGCTACTTGAACGTCTTTCCCAAACCACCCCATTGAAATTTTTTTAACCCCCCTAGTCCCTAGTGCCTTTTCCCACGATTCCCCGGTATTTTCCTTTAAACGCCAACAAAAGGCCTATTTTAAAGTGGAAAACCGCGGCCTCGGGGAA